TTTTTTTTTTACATTAATAATTTTTCCGTTATCATCATAAAATAATAAATTATATAAATATAAGATAATAAATGAGGTTCAGCATTTTCACTTTCCTGTTGCCTCCAGTCCTCATGACATTTTAATATTTTATGCTATATAAAAAATGGAGGACAATGGCAAAAGATTGAAAAAAAAAAAAATCATAATATGGTTTTATTTGCCACCGTTCCCCCTCCCTTCCTCCTCCTCTTCCTTTTACTTTTTTTTTTTGTTCTACACGGTAAAAAAATAAAAGGAAAAATTACTTAATAACATGTTCATTAAATTTTCAATTTTTATTTGGTGAAAACTTATTTTTATAAGTCTTTAGTAGGTGAAAATGTTCTAATTAAATCTATCAGTGTATCAAAATTTTGTATGATGTCCATAATACCCTTTTGTGTAATAATTAAAATATTAAATTGTCATTGATATTAATTATATATAATTACTGAAATTTTAAAAATTCAATAAAATTTCTCTTTTGTTTCTCTTGCTACCTTATTCATCACTACCAGTGGGCGTAATTCAATAAATTCCAAATTACTTGATGTTCCAATTTTTTTGGATTAATTCAATTAAAAATTTATTTGAAGTGATTCAATTAATGATTAAGAATTTAAATATTTGGACAACCAAATGAGCCCTCTTAATTACTCTCTCATTCCTAAAATATTTAACTTTTTCTTTTTCACAAATTAACAAATTTTAAATAATCTATTTTCTTCTTTATTATCCTTAATAAAGAAATGAGGATGAACAGAAGATTTTAGTTAAATAATTCATGTTTTTCCATTTATTACTCATGTTGATTGTTATTTTTTTTAAAAAAATTGCAATAGTTATAATATAATATTTTAATTATTACACAAAAAGGGTAGTATAAACATTTTACAAAATTCTAATACACTTACGATAGATTTAATTAAAGTATTTTTACTTGTGTAAAACTTAAAATTGAGTTTTCACCAAATAAAAATTGAAAGTTTCATGAATCAACTACTAAGTAATTTTCTCAAAACAAAAAAAAATCTAGCTGTGTTACAAACTATTCCCTTATCTTGTGAAGCTTCCTTTTTTTCTTTTTGTGTTGCTTCTGTTATGACTAGATCCTAAAATTTATGGTTGTTGTGGCTTGATATGGTAAGGTTATTAGTGGGTGGAGAGTATTGTGAACCTAAGCACATGCTGTTCCTAAGACTCGCAAAACATTTGAGAATTTCTAATGGTTCAAGATGCTCATAAAGACTTTTTTTCTTTTTTCTTTTTTTCTTTTTTTTTTTGTGTGTGTTAGTAGCTCTATTTATACCTTCATAGTGATTATTAATATAATGTAATCTTTAGGTGTAGATAACTTTTTATATTTGATTATTTATATTTATCATATGTATAGTTTAAATTTATATTAATACTATAAAATATTCTTCTATTTAAACTATATAAACTGTTGTATAAAAATTCTTATGTAATTTTAATTTTATTTATTTTAATACAATCTCTATTTTCTATTTTAAAAAAACAAAAAGCCACTAGAACATACATGTTAAAAGATTTTACTTTATCTATCTCTATTTTTATTGAGTACTGACCAGGACGAAATTAGGACGAATAAATGGGCACGCCAGATAAGAAAATTCATTGAAGACGAGTAATCCGCTAACCTTATATATGTATGTTAATGCTCATTCCTTTTTAAACTAATTATTATTTTTTTGTTTTAAGTTCATATTAAATTAATTATTATTTTTATTTTAAAGATAAATAAAAATTATTTTTTAAATTTAATTATATTATTATTTATTTATTTAATTAAGTATCTTACTATAAAAGATTTCTTTTTTATTTATTATTATTTTTTAACTATAATATAAATAAACATATACATTATCTTTTATTTTATGTTTTTCATATATATATATATACACACGTCACACGGAACTAATGTTATGTTCTCAAGACTATTACAATGAAAAAAAAAAATACCAAAATTTCTTCGGAATAGTTTTCAAAATGAATTTTCCTTCCTTTTCACAGAAAGTCAGCAAACTTATCATTTCACTTTTCCAGCGCTGAAAGCAAAAGATAATAGTCTGTTAGAGATCAGAGAGAGAACAGTAGCACTAATGCACTACTACAAACTACATATAGTCATATACAGATACGTACGAGTGTACAGAGAGATGAGATGAAAGTATGCCTGGTCGGCCATTAGAGCATCAAGGAAGAGCTCAGTAAGGTCCACAATCTCTTCAATTCACCTAAAGATCCCATCACCTAGTCATCCTCACTCACTCTTTCCATTATCTATTTATAAAAATCAAACATAATCATATGTCCACAGAAAGAAGGAGGAAAATGTGACGTTCCTGTTTTTCTCTCTTTTTCTGTTTGGTTCATTGCACCTTGGGGTTGATTTTTGTGTGGTGGGTTATCGAAGATCCATGCTATCTGTGGCAGAGGTGTAGTGGGTTTGGTTTGGTTTTGTCCTCTAGTTCATGAATTCAACGCTTTTCTTCCTGGGGTGTAAGGGAGTTGCTGGGAAATGGAGTTGCTGCTTCGCTATTATCTCTTTTCAGATGAATGAGTAGCGGCGAGATTTGTTCAAGAGGTTGGTTTTCATGGCTTGATCTCTTTTTGAATTGTTTTTGAACTTTGGATTGGTGGGTTGTGTTGTGATTGTTGGTTTTGTTAGTGCTTTCCATCAAAGTGGTTGCTTTACAATAGCTGAATCTTCTGAATTCATGCTTTGATAGAATTGAGGGTGTTTTTTTCTTTTTTTCTTTTTTTTTGTATTAATTTATTTGTTTGAATTGATTCACCTCCACCCTTACCTAAAGGGAACGTCTTTTGTGCATTCTTTTGAAAATACTACACTTTGATAAGTGATTAATCTTGATATTCTTTCTGCAATGCCTACTTGGGGAATTGGGTATGGGTTCTTATCACCTTCTGTGTCTATGTTCTTGAGTTCCATGTTAATTGAGGGCTTTTGTCAATCATTATGAATCCGGATATAAGCACAGAAATTCAATTATCCATATATCAATTATGAATGCAACATTTTTTCTTGTTTATACTCGTTAACTTTTTGGTTCTTTTTAGGATTGTGATAAAAATTGAAAATCTGCAGGTTGTTAAATTTCTGCTTTGCTACCATGTTGAGGATATTCAAATCAAGAAGACTCTTGGAAGTAGGGTTTTTTGGATTTTTACATGTTGCTATGCTATTAGTTACTACTTCAGGGGGGCTGAATTCCGAGGGTCAATACCTGCTCCAGCTCAAGAATAATCTTCATGATAAATTCAACTATCTTGGAAACTGGAGGAACACTGATGGAACACCGTGCGGATGGAAAGGTGTTAATTGCACTGCAGGTTATGAGCCAGTTGTATGGTCTCTTGATTTGAGTTTAATGAATCTTTCTGGAGTCCTAAGCCCCAGCGTCGGTGGTCTGATCCACTTGACGTATCTAGACCTGTCTTACAATGAGTTGTCTGGGACTATACCCAAGGAGGTTGAAAATTGTTCACTTTTGACCTTTGTTTATTTGAATAATAATCAATTCAGTGGTCCAATTCCTGGGGAATTGGGTCAGCTTTCTTATTTGAGAATTTTGAATATATGCAACAACAAAATCTCTGGTTCTCTTCCTGAGGAACTAGGAAACTTGTCTTCACTTGATGAGTTAGTGGCATACACCAACAATTTGAGTGGCCCCCTGCCACGTTCTATTGGTAATCTCCAGAAATTGAGGATATTTCGAGCTGGGCAGAATGCAATTTCTGGGAGCATACCGGCTGAAATAGGTGGATGCCAGAGCTTGGAAATGCTTGGTCTTGCTGAAAACCTTATTGGAGGGGAGCTGCCTAAGGAAATTGGGATGCTTAAGAGTTTGACTGGTCTGATTTTGTGGAAGAATCAACTATCGGGGTTTATTCCGAAGGAACTTGGGAATTGTACAAGCCTTGAGACCCTTGCTTTGTATGCAAATGGTCTTGTGGGGCAGATTCCTGCAGCGATTGGGAACCTCAAGTTCCTGAAGAAGTTGTACCTCTACAGAAACGAATTAAATGGAACCATTCCAAAAGAGATTGGGAATTTATCTCTCACAACTGAAATTGATTTCTCAGAGAATTGTTTGACAGGTGAGATCCCAGCTGAGCTAAGCAGAATAAAGGGTCTTCGTTTGCTTTACCTCTTTCAAAACCAGCTTAGAGGTGTCATACCAAATGAGCTATGTACCTTGAGGAACTTGACAAAGCTTGATCTATCAATCAATTATCTGACAGGGCCTATTCCTTATTGCTTTCAATATTTGACTCAAATGACTCAGTTACAGCTTTTTGAGAATTCTCTAAGTGGTACTCTTCCTCAGCAGCTTGGACTATACAGCCCACTTATGGTGGTTGATTTTTCAGACAATCATCTGACAGGGAAAATACCTCCTTATCTTTGTCGACATTCTAACCTCATTTTTTTGTCCATTGGGTCTAATAAGCTGCATGGAAATATCCCAACTGGGGTAAAGAATTGCCAAACTTTGTTGCAACTTCATCTAGTGGGAAACATGTTCACTGGAAGCTTTCCTTCAGAGCTGTGCAAGCTGGTGAATCTTTCTGCCATTGAATTGGATCGGAATAATTTTACTGGACCTGTTCCTCTGGAGATTGGAAATTGCCAAAAGCTTCAAAGGCTCCATATTGCGGACAATTACTTCATTTCTGAGCTACCTAAGGAAATAGGTAATCTGTCTCAATTGGTGACTTTTAATGCCTCATTTAATTTGCTCACTGGACAGATTCCACCGCAAATTTTTAGCTGTAAGATGCTTCAACGATTTGATCTCAGCCATAACAGCTTCATAGGTACTTTGCCAGGCGAGCTTGGAACCCTTCGGCAACTGGAGCTTCTCAAGCTTTCAGAAAATAAATTTTCTGGAAATTTACCTGCAGCTTTAGGAAACCTCTCACATTTGACTGAGCTGCAGATGGGTGGGAACCTATTTTCTGGTGAGATACCCCCAGAGTTGGGTTCTCTTTCAAGCTTGCAGATTGCAATGAACCTCAGCAATAACAATCTCACTGGAAGCATACCTCCAGAGCTGGGGAATCTTAATTTGCTGGAGTTTCTTCTGCTGAATAACAATCATTTGAGTGGTGAAATTCCCAGCGCTTTAGAAAACTTGTCAAGTTTATTGGGTTGCAACTTGTCATACAATGACCTAAGTGGGCCTTTACCTGCTATACCACTGTTTCAGAAAATGGCTCTTAGTAGCTTTATTGGAAACAAAGGGCTTTGCGGTAAACCTCTACAAGATTGCACTAATGATCCATCTTATTCTGTGCCGCCTTTGGGAAATAGGAATGCTCCTCTAGGAAAAATTGTTGCAGTAGTTATGACTGCTGTAGGTGGGGTTTCTCTTTTTCTCATTGTGATTATTTTATATTTCATGAGACGTCCAGCTCAAACCGTTACCTCCTCACAAGATAAGGAGAAAGGTAAGGTGATATCTTCTGCTTCAGATATTTACTTTCCTCCAAAAGAGGGATTTAGTTTCCAAGATCTAATTGAGGCCACAAAAAATTTCCATGAGAACTATATTGTTGGGAGGGGAGCTTGTGGAACGGTTTATAAAGCAGTTATGCATTCTGGACAAACCGTCGCTGTTAAAAAGCTTGCATCCAATGGGGAAGGAAGCAACATTGAGAACAGTTTTCGGGCTGAGATTCTTACTTTAGGAAAGATCAGACATAGAAATATTGTGAAGCTTTATGGGTTTTGCTATCACCGGGGTTCTAATCTGCTTCTTTATGAGTACTTATCAAGGGGTAGCTTGGGGGAGTTGCTTCACAGGGCCTCTTGTAGCTTGGAATGGCCTACTCGGTTCATGATTGCTCTTGGAGCTGCTGAAGGTCTTGCTTATTTACATCATGACTGCAAGCCAAAGATCATCCATCGTGATATCAAGTCCAATAATATTTTGATTGATGATAACTTTGAAGCCCATGTTGGTGATTTTGGCTTGGCAAAAGTGATTGACATGCCTCAGTCTAAGTCAATGTCAGCAGTTGCTGGATCATATGGATACATTGCTCCTGGTAAGCTCTATCTTCCTCCCAGCATACTCGAAACTGCTAGTGGTTCAGGAGCATGTTTAAGAGTGCAAAATTTTCCTCGTTAATTTTCGAGGCACATAAGTAGCTGTTTGTCACTAAATTTTCTTAGCTTAATCTGGCTTTATGAACATAATATATTGATATTTGACTCTCTCCTGTATGACAGAATATGCATACACCATGAAGGTTACAGAAAAATGTGACATCTATAGTTATGGTGTCGTTCTTTTGGAGTTGTTAACTGGAAAGACTCCCGTTCAGCCTTTGGATCTGGAAGGTGATCTTGTTACTCTCGTGAGACATTATATTCGGAAAAATTCATTGACAGCTGAGGTATTTGATGCTCGATTAAATCTTGATGATCAAAGAACCGTTGATCACATGCTTAATGTCTTAAAAATTGCGTTAATGTGCACAAGCATGTCCCCTTCTGATCGGCCATCCATGAGAGAAGTTGTTTTGATGCTTATAGAGTCTAATAAGCAGGAAGGGAACTTCCTTTCTTCTCCTGCTAATGATTTTACCCCAAACGATAGGTAATCAACAGACAGCTGACTCTTCCTCATATTACTTTCTCAGCAAGAAATATAGTGTACCTTCTTTCATGAACAGCAGGTTAAGTATAGAGGGTTAATTGATTTTCTTCTCAAAATTGTAGTTCTTTTGCAATCAATACGGTATAGAAACAACAGTGTACGGGTGATAGTATCGCCATACCCATATATACATTTGCATCTCAAAGACCCTCGCCTAAATTTGAAGCCATTTTATAAATCAGTTTGGGACAATTGTCTGCCTCGTTGAATTGTATCTAATAGAATGCATATTGTGGATTCCATTTTGTCAGTGCTTGTTTGGATGATTTGATCGATAGAAATCTACATGGCTTGTTATTGTTATTGTTGGATCGGAGAGACTAAGGTTTTCTTTGTTAGTGCTATATATGTTGTGTTCAACTTAGTCCTTCTAGGAAAATGGTGAGCGTAAGGACGTAGGATCTAGGTGGTGAAAATGTTAAAATTGAGTGTGTGCTTTAATATAAGATTTACATTCAACATAAAACTAATTGGTAATTGTTTGAGTATTCTTTCTTATGTTTAACTTATATACCTTTTTTATATTATTTTAATGTGAAAATTTTTCACTTAACACACTTCTAACATGCGGGCTCATATTAACACTACCAAGTGAAAATTGGGTATATTGTTTCAATACAAGATTTACATCTAATTTAAAATCAATTAGTAATAGGCAGATAGCCTTTATTATATCTAAATCATATTGTCTTCTTAATATTTTTCTAATGTGGAATTTTTCAAATTAACTTAGGCTAGTAAACGAGCTTGAAATATCCTCACCTCGTGCAGACTTTAACTGTCATGAGATCTTGAACTTCTCAAAAAAGGAATATGAGTCTTGATATAATGTGAAAATTAAGTATATGAGTTTTAACACAATGCATGCATTTAATTTAAAATTAATAGGTAATAGGTAAAGTAGTCTTGTTTATATTTAACTTATATGCCTCTTAAAAATTTTTTAATGTAAGATTTTCCCACTTAACGGAAGATGTGTAGTATAAACTGGATTCAAGAAAATAAGGAGAATTGGCTATAGTTAGGTTCCAAAGTCGAGGTGGGCGATGGGAAGGATGTATTTTTTTGGATCTTTTTGGAGGGATGAATGGGTTGGAGAGCTAGGACTGTACATGTTTGCAAGGTTGTTTTTCTTTCTACAGATAAATGAAGCACAGTTAATGAAATGGGAGAGTGGAATGGAGATTCATGAAATTTAAGTTGGTGAAGACGTCTGATGGCATGGGAAAGAAGATCACGCTGAGCAACTATATTGGAGGTGCTAAATGGTCTACAACCAGAGAAGGAAAAGAAGGCCATAGATGGCGCTGGATTCATGAAAAGATGGATTGTACTCGGTGAAATCAGCTTATGCATTGTTATCATAAGGGGGGGGGGGGGGGGGGGGGGAACTACAAAACAAGGAATGTAGGGATGTGTTTTAGACGGCCTGCAGGTACATGTAATGAAACGTAACAAAGGATGGATGGTGATTTGGTTTGCGACAATGTGGACAATTTTCTTGGCAAGGATAGAAGCAGTCTTTAGCAATAATCATTTGAGTTTAGCCAATGCATGCATTGGAATTAATTGGTAGAAAGCAGGTCTTATATACGGATTAATGGGAAAAATAGAAGGATGGACTTATTTTTGAATTGGTGCCAAAATCCTCATAGGTGCCTACTAACCAAAAGTAGATATCATAATGGGAGAGTTTTGCAATTAATTACTGTGTAATGGAAAGATAGAAATTGACAAAAGAGGAGATGCTTCCAAAATTTGTAGTTTTACATTCTAAAATTTGTAAGAATTGTGTGTAAGTGAATTTTAATTTTTATGTTAATAATTACACTTTTAAATTTAATTTTAACATGTGTTTTTGAAATATCAATTAAGAGTGTTTATTGCACCATTTAATAATTAATTATCATAAAAAAATAAAAGTAAACAATAATTTTAAAGCCAATTCCATAAGAATAATTTGAGAGAAAAATGTTTGTCAATTAGATCTATAAAAAATTAAATGAAAAAATTATTTCAAAATTACAATGTTTGATAAAGTTTCATTGAAAAGAACCAATAATCTATTTATAAAGCAAGAATCATATTGTTTTGACCTTTTTCTATTATGTTTTAAATAAAATGATATAGTTTTGAAGTTTCTTTACCTTGTTTTGCAAGTTTAATTGATAACATTAATATCTGATTTTAATTCAACATTTTTTAAGTAAAGAAATCATAATTTTATTAAAGGAAAATGGAAAATGATTAGTATGCACTCGATTCAATATATTTTCTAATACTCATCCAATTTAGTTATTAAAATATAATATA